GGCAGGTCCGGGGCCTCCGGGAGCGCTGGGTTTTCAGCGGGGTGACTTTTGTGCCAAGATCTCACTGTTGGTGCGTATACGACCGAAAGTTAATATTTAGGCTGCTGTTAGCAACTTTTTTGGAAGGAGGCTGTGCCTACTCGAGTGTTTTATTAAGTAATGAACTTTGTTGCTAAGCTATAAAATAGGTTTTATTATTGGCTATTGTCACTTTATCTGTGTAGCCAGTAGGAGTGAAACTTGCTCTGTGTACTGGTGCCTGGTACTCCTGTTGTTAAGGGTCTGTCAACATTTCCATTATTAAACTTCTGTTTTGAAGGATTTATAACTTAGCTTCAGGAGTTCACTCCAGGCTGAACCTTGGCACGTACTCTCTCAGCCTAGGAGTTAATTCATTTTCCAAATACTTGAAAAATCAGTCTGTCCTTCATATTGCAAGACTGAAAAGAAAGTAGAAAGGGGTGGGGGCTGAGTTGCTTCTGTAGTTTTGCTTGCCTCTCAGTTGCAGACCTTTAATAACATACTGAAATCCAGCGAGGAATAAGGTTATTACGTACAGTTTTTTCAAAGTTGTGCAAATCCTATCGCCGTTCTATTGTGCACAAAGGTGAACCGGTATGAATTTGGTTAACGCTTGGTGCTGTGTCCTGTTAAATGCAGTAACAGCAGTTAAATAGCTGTTGCTTTTGAATGCACTTAACGTGTGTGGTGTTGTTACAATTTGTACTTTTACGCTTGCTTGCCTGTGTTACTTTTCACCTGTAATATGTATTTAGTTGGATCGAAGTTCTTTATAGCAGCTGGTGGTTCCTCAAATGTGAATTTGAAAGCTAGCTAAAGCCAGAGAATCATCTGCTTCATTTGGGGCTGCCTTTTAAAATAGGACTCTTTTCATGTTCCTTTTTGTTTAGCTGTGCCACAAAAATATTCTGTTTAACAGAAAAGGTCTTTAAAGTTTCTGTAATTCTCCCCATTTCTCAAGAATTTAAATGCCTCAAATTCAATTAACAACTTGTGTATTTTGTTTAAATGCAAATGTAAGCTAATTCATTTCCAATTTAATACGTGAAACTTAACAAGTGCTTGCATGCAGGGTAGATGTGGTGCTGAGGGACATGGTTTAGCAGTGGACTTGGCAGTCCTGGGTTATCAGTTGGACTCAATGATCTTAAAGGTCTTTTCCAACCTAAAAGATTCTGTGAAACAGAATTGTCAGTCTCAGTACCAGTGTGCAAATGGGGCCTCAGGTATGCTGCAATACCTTGTGTAGAGAGGTGTGGCAAAGGCTGGTACATGGATCTCATTATAGAGGTGTCTGTGTTGTCCTTGTGTATCTACAAAACCAATTAAATGGTAAGTACTTTTTAAGAAAAGTCAGTATTATTCTAATGCAGTTTTCAGAGCTGCTTTTTCGGTTTCATGGTGGACGTGTATTTACTACTGCCAAGGAAGCTTTATCTACTTGTGACTGGTAGCTGGTGAATGGCTTTGTGAGTCATTTCTCACTGACTGGTTGACCAGTTTGCTGAAGCTTTCCTTTGGATAAACCATGGGCAGGTGGTTTATAGGCTCCCAATCCCCTCGAAAGTGCAGTTTGTGTGCAGGACAGGAAATTTTGTTTTCAGTCTTGTTGCATAGGGTTTTGTTATGGTTGAGTTCAGGAGTCTTCCTTGGCTGGATGGCATTTCTGTGTTGCTTTTCTCCTTGCATAGTCTCCTAAACCCCTGCACAGGGTTTATGTGGGGATGTCGTTGGACCTACGTCCCTTCATTTCATAAGGGGCATGAGAAATAAACTCCTCCAACAGAAAGTGGGTGCAATGGTAAATGGGTGGATGCAGTCCAGTAATGAACCATGGGATGTGCTGTATGAGGTCTCCTGACTGCAGGCCTGTTTTTTTTTTTTTTCTTATCCCTGCACCAGAGAGAGTGAAAACTTTAGTTTTCAAAATAAAACTAGAGGCACTTAGCACCTGCTCGTAGTTAATATTTCCTGAATTGTACAAGGGTTTTTGTGATGCCAATTAACCAACCTGCTTGGAGGCTCGCTTGAACAGCAGTAACTGGAAAATAAGCAGAACTTTACAATAACTACCTTAGAAACTTCTGAAAAGTTTATTTAAAGTGAAATGTGTACCTACCGTTACACTGCTGCTCAAATATAAGAAACTTAAAAGGGCCTAATTTGACTCCTGGCAGGCCAGCACTGATGCAGGGACAGCAGGAGCCCTGACCCCACAGCATGTCCGAGCTCACTCGTCTCCAGCGTCGCTGCAGCTGGGAGCCGTTTCTCCAGGGACGCTCGCACCCTCTGGAGTGGTGGCTGGACCTGGAGCTCCATCTTCCCAACACCTCCGCCAGTCTTCGTTTGAGATCCCCGATGACGTCCCGTTGCCACCGGGCTGGGAGATGGCCAAAACACCGTCTGGGCAGAGATACTTCCTCAAGTAAGTTTTCAGTTGGCTCTATAGCTCACGTTTTTTATTGTGTGGTTTTGTTGTGGGTTTGAGTTTGTTTTTTTTTTTAGTTTGTGAATTTTAGAAAATGTCATTGTGTTTAAAACACAACTGTTTAAAAACGTGCCCCTAGTTACACATAGGAGATGCTACCACTTCAGTATGACTCCCATATGAACTCTGCTGTTTCTGAAAACTGTGTGGAACTTGTTGATGTTCATACCTTCTCAACCTTAGCTGGAGAATGTTATCTGTTATGTTGGACACTAAAAATCAGTGAAATGATTTTTAAACAATTTGACTTATAGGTTTGCTGAATCTTGCCAGTGTTCTTATGCAGGTCAAAACACATTTTACCCCATTTTTATGAAGCATGTGAAAATACAGAGTAACTTTAGAAACTATTGTAGTGAGAATATATTTGGACTTCATATTTTTTTTTACATTTTGGACAATTGTTTAAGTATGCAATCAAAACATTCTTCCCTACTCTCTGCTCATGAGGATATTAATATATATACGTTTGATTGCAGTGTTTGGCTCTGTAATTCTTAACTCATCTGCATTCCCTGCAGTGGAAGGGAAATTGCAGAACTTCTAACATTGTTTCTTGTTCCTACAGCTGTAACTTTTTTATGCAGTGAAATTAGTATCACCTTTTCTGTAGCTGAAGAGAGGTTACACGTGTCAGCCATCTGACACCTAATCCATCAGGGAGCATTTTCTTTAATGCTGCATAGTTTTCTAGAACAGCAGGAGATTGTCCTTCATTCTGAAAGTGTGCCCACCAACACACATAATTGGCCCTCAAATATTTTGACTATATTTCCAACATTTTATTAAACTGCATGTTTCTAAATAACCCTTTATGTGTAATTTTCAGGGCTGGGAGAGAGGGGAGGGGCAGCACAGTATGTTGATTATGCAAAACTTGTTTCAGCCAAGAAAAACATCTTTATTCCTACCTTTCTTGCTAAAACATCATAGTTAATATGTGCATCTAATTGAAGTAGTTGAGTTTGTAGCTTCAAAAACAAATTTACATTGTCTGCAATGGAAATGGAACTTGCAGAACTCTAAAGATTGTTTCTTCTTCCTATAGGGATGGTGTTTTCATACAAAGAAATTACCAACTTCTTTTTGGTTTTAAAAAAGTGGTATGGCAGTTGTCTGACATTATTGGAGCCTGAAGGTTACTTTTTGCAGCAATCATCCTGTATTAGGAATCTGAAAATGAGCATTAGCTATAGATCTGGAAGATGTGATATTTTCTTTGGTGAAGTTTAACAAATCAGCATATTCTGGAATGTGAGCTTTTCAGTGGGCACAAATGGAATTTTTTGGAACTGTGTAAGTTTATGCCATTTGAGAACTGCAGCTCTTTGGACCTTGAGGGAAGCACAGACTGAGTTTTGGTATGAAAAGCAAACTTTGTTTTGACTGTGCTAGTGAGAGCTCTTAAAGAGCAGCTTATGAAGCTGACAAAACGGATATTTGGTTTTAAAGTTTTTCTGTCACAAGTATTTGCTTTTGATAACCTTGTCGATTTTACAGAAAGTAGAACAGTTTGAGTAAAATGCCTTCACGCTCTTATAACTGATTTTTAAAATTATGTTCATTCAGGTGAAATCAGAGTGAGAGATTTGTTCTTGGAAAGCTGCTCTGCAATTTCACTATGACCACAAAAAAATCTTTCCCTTTTTTCTGCAAGGTTTTTTGTCCTTTCTTGGTGTCCTGGTATCCATTTCAAAGGGTCAGGTTTCAACAAGAACAATAAAGAGCCTGAGACTGGAAAGTACACACAAGTCTGGCAAACTCATCTGCATGAGCGAGATCGTTTGTTCTCAAGCAGACATCCAAAGTAAATGATTGAAAGAGCTGCTAGCTGTGAAGGATGTGTCTTGAAGGGGAAAGGAGTGGAAACAAACCAGGTTGTTAGGAAGAAAAATAAAGGCTGTACTTTTTGAACCTCTCCCTGCTGGGTCACATGCTGACCTTGGGAGATTTTAAACAGCTTAATGGGCTGTTTTCTTTTGGCTTTCCTTGGGTGATGCTGTGGTATGGGAGAGTCTAATGAGGACAGTTCTGAAGGCTCCGTTCACACTTGAAGAACATTTGTTGTTTAATGCTATCCACAGGTGAGATCCACCAACTTCATTTGAGTTCATGAAGATTTGTAAAAAACATTTCAAGTACTACCGAAGCGTTTGCTTTGTATGTTTAGGAAATCCAAAGACACGTCAGAATTATTTTTCAGTAGCAGGTTTGCATTTCAGATGCTTTTTACAGTGTTTGGAGTAAAGTTCTGTCTCATACCTACAAGCCTGTTAAAACTCGTGTCTCCTATAGTTATACCTTAAACGTTCGCTCAGAGTGTGACTACCGAGATTCCCAATGCTAAATACATTTAGTGTGGTTCTTTCTGTCGCATGCAGACTTTTTGGTGTCTCTTCCAAGTATTTAGCATTTTTGTTGGACTGGCTACATTGCTCTTTGTTTCGATTTGCTCTGTTCTGTAGCCACTCCATGAACAGTCGAGTAATCAGGCCCTAGAAAGATCTTTGCAGAATAGGTAACAGTATTAGATTTTTTCCAGATGTCAGCAAGCCTTATGGTTATAGTTATCATAATATACTACAGTACAGAGTAATACAAAGTTGAATACTGTACTTAACACAGCCTGGAATATAGTCACTTCCACTAATCAATGGGGCAAGCCCCACAAGAGTCATGGATTGCAAAAAGAAATTAAAATAATGTGTATGGGAGAGAAAATACTTGTCTGTATGTATAGATACACGCACTGAGTTATTTGGCCAGATATTTTGTATACACACCACACCCGTGTCCATAGGTACCAAAGGAAAGGGTGTGAGTGGTGGGGTAGGGCCTGAACCAGAACTGCTCTGCTGGGTCAGGCTGTTGTCTAGATGAATGGACCCCTTTGTGTGTGATGCCCAACACAGGGCCTGCCAGGTTCCCCTCGCCAGCGCTTGTCTCGCGCAGAGCAGGGCACTCGCTGCTGGGCGTGAGTCTCCGCTGGGGACAATGCAGGTGACTTCGGCCAGTGAGTTAGGACATGCCTGCTGTGCAGCTGGTAAAACTAACACTGCTCCTTGCTGAAACTGCTGCTTAAATTGAACCCATCGGTTGAGACTTGCCTGCTTAGTGAGTGGTCACATCTGAGTCATTTCAGCTTTGCTGTGCGGTACACTTTAGCTCATCCTGAAACATGTAGTAAAAAAGACTTGCTTGGTTTGTGTGGTGATGTCAACTGCATTGCTTTTTAACCACTTCCTGTTAGCCAGCTGCTCGTTGACATTTCAGTGAACTGTGGAGAAAGATAGAGGATTGCTCTCCGGGCAAAAGATAATATGCCATGGGAGCAGCAGACAACAACATGCAGAAAGAAAAACCGAGTTTTGCTTCATTTTAAAATGACTCTTGCATCATTTTAACTTAGCATTATACTTTTAATTCTTACCAAGCTTGTGCAATACATCTTCTCATTTTGTAGTGTGAGGAGAAGTTAACCCATCGGCCAGCAAACAAGTCTTGTAATTATTTTTCCTACAGGAAGTAGTTCTTGCAAGCAGTTTATCAACAACTTCCTATTTTTTTTTTCTGTGAAGTGTCGAATGACTTCCTGAAGGAGGCCAAGGTGGTTTTCATTACTATCTGTGGGTGTGTTTGAGGTGTTTACCCATCTGGCAGAAACTTTAAAAATAGATCACTGCTACACGTTTCTTACGTGCTTTGCACAGAGGTACGGCTTTGGATGTTAAGAAACCAAATCCTTTTAAGATAACAGAAGAGTTTGTTGCTATGCTTTTTTTCCCACGTCACACATGAAAAATATCCAGCAAGGCTGTTAAATTTATCTCTCATCCCGCTTTCGTCCCTGACTGAAACCACCCACTACAATAATATTATCTGCTCCTCTCCTTCTCACCCCGCCAAAGCAATCTTAATCTTCTAGGGCAGAAGATGTTTGTTGGAAAAAACACTCTCACAGTTGCCTGTTTTATTGAATGCCTTAACTTACTGGGGAAATGCATGTTCAGAATCCTCAGTTAATGTGAGTTCCTGTGTTTATGGTGCTATAGTTCAGGGTAGTTAGTCATTAAAAGAGCTGTATGGTTGGAAACCAAAGTTGCAACCCCTGCTTTGGAAGGGTTTGTCCCCTTTTCCATGCTTTTTATACTAAAAGGCAGTTGAAGATTTTTGTTTGCTGAATTTTATTTTCAATTTGTCAGATTTTGATTTTATATTGATGATTTCTGAGCATTTATGGAAATATTCCTAGATTGATCTACAGAAAATAAAAAACCCCATGAAATTTATGCAGAGGAAAATGGGCGCTGTCAGTTTTAGAACGTAGCTGGCGGAAAGAAATCTTAGCTAAAACACTTTAAGTTTAATTTTAAACTTAACATTTTAAATTTTTTTTGTCTTGCAAGGCAGTCATAGTGCTATTAAGTGTGTTTCCTACTACCTCTTACTTGAAGAGTCCTGTGAAAGAACAATGATGCAAACAATTTTGAATGTGCAGTTGTGCTAAAGATTTCTGTGTCTTTAAGAGGATGGAGGAAGAATTAAGGGCAAGTCTGCATTGTTTGTGTTGGGACTGAGACTGAGCAGGGAGGAGGATGAAAGTGCATCTTCAGCCCTCTGAATTCAGAGAACTTGCAGCCAGCTTAGTGGGTGGGCATCAGTGAAAGCACTGGCACACACTGCTTTTCTTGTCTTGAATTTTGCTTTGCTTAAGAAAAATTGCAAACGATGATATCTATGCACCCATTCAATACCCTGTCATACAAGGTGATTTTGTAAGACTATTCTAAAAGCTGTTTAATAGATGTGATTTCAAGTAAACCAAAAGCATACCCTGTGGTTTTCACTAATGTATTTTCTTTTTATTTGTAAGCGCATTGGGAGTTATCTTCAGAATAAAACAGAAATGGGGAAAAATAACAGGATCTGTGAGATTT